AAATATGTTAGTCGCTTTGAAATCATATGAAGCTAGCTCTAATCTCAAAGAAATTGGTTAATCCCCTCGGTTTTGATAATAGTGATGATATTTCATTTAATCTATCTGCAGCTTTTTCAATTCCATTATCTAGTGCTTTTTGATACCAATCTCTCGCCAATTGAAGATCTTTTTTTTTTACACCAATTCCATATTGATAACATCTTGCGAGATTATACTGTCCAAGTGGAATATCATTATTTGCAGAGGTTTCATAATGATTAAATGCCTTTTTTCCGTCTCTTTTAATTCCTAAACCATTTTCATAACATATACCTAAATTATTGCATGCAGACATGCATTCCATGTTGTAAGATTCTTTATAATATTCGATAGCTTTACGTTTGTCAATTCCACCATCAGTCCCATTTAAATAACAAGAACCCAAGACATTCATAGATCTTGCACATCCATTTTTTTGATTTTTCATACCACTCAATAGCTTTTGCTGGATCTTTATTGACGCCGTATCCACATCTAAAGCATTCAGCAAGATAAAAAACGGCAATCGGATTATTTATTGCGGCACCATTAAATAAATTGAAGGCAAGCTCTTGATCCTTTCTTGTACTAATTCCCATAAAGTGAAAAAATCCAAGAAGACATTGTAAATTCGAATTCGAATCAGGATTCATATTTTCGTTATAATGTTTTAGCCATTCAAATATACTTTTAATAATTCTTGGTCTATGCATATAATGTTCATTTATTTCTTTTGAAATTTGAGTAAACTCTTTTCCAATATTTGTTAACTTGACAAGAATATTCCACAAATCTTTTGCTTGAGAATTGAAGAAGTCGACTTCATATTGTAGTGAAATATCATGATTTTGTTCAATGATGTTGGTAAAAAAGTCTTTAATGCAAAGTTCAATATCCATCGAATCTGCGTAGTGTAAAGAAACAACTGAATTATTACTACTTGTAATTTGAAAAACTGGAGAATTTAAATTAATTTTCTTCAGTTTATCAAATATTTGACTCATTGTTGGTCGAATATCAGGATCATTTTGCCAGCACTCTAAAAAATTATTAAATACGTTTATTATTGCTGCATTAAACATTACAAAATTTGAGTAATAAATATGAAATACAAACCTTGATAAATTTCCCAATATCTGATTGGAGTTCCTTCAACAACTTTTTCCCTTATACCGCTGAAACAAATTTCTGGAATTTTCTTATCATCATAAGATCTAAAAGGGATTTGTCCACTAGATAACTCCCACATAATCATTCCTACGCTATAAACATCCGATTTCTTATTTAATTTGTAATTCTGGCTATAAATAATGGCTTGTGGATCTACATAGCGTAAGACACCGTAACGACAACGAGAATTTATAGTGATCCATCGAGAGAGACCAAAGTCAGCTAATTTAATATTGCCTTGATGAATAAGTATATTTTTTGGATGCTATATAAATAATAAAGACATAATTATTCACTAAACGAAAGATTAACAATACTAAAACTATTAAATATTACAATGTCACGATGTATAATTTCACGCGAATGTAAATAGTTGACAGCACTAGCAATTTGAATAGCAAATTGTAATTTTTGTTTCCAAATCATTTTTGTAAAATTCTTTTCCAGGTAATCCCTTAAAGTTCCACCATCGGCCCATTGAAGAACCAATAGATAATTATCACCTAAAATAAAGTTATAAAATAAAGTTTTAAATTAAAGTTATAAAATAAAGTTATAAAATATTAAGAATTACATATCGAAATGACATAAAATTATTAGAAATACCTTCTTGTTCTTGTTTAGTTACACCTAAAAATCGAAGAATATTATCATGTATATCAACAGCTTTCTGAATCCTTACCTAATAAAATAATTCATTATTAATAAACTAGCATACTAGCTAAAAACAATTTAATTATAAAAAATTTACCTCGTTCACAATTTCTTTGAGATTAGAGCTAGCTTCATATGATTTCAAAGCGACTAACATATTTGCATCTTTATAATTCGCTCGATATACATTTCCAAAACCTCCGGTTCCAATTAAAATTTGATTAGTAAATGAATTGAATGAGTAAAAATTAAATTCTCTATCTTTGCCATCTTCCAGTATATTTAAATAGTATCTCGAATCTTTTGACATTTTTGTTTTTAAAAACAATATCTCACAAATTATCGGTTTTTTTTTTTTAATCGTTTTTGACTTATGGGAAAATAAACGTCTATATATTTCTAAAAGGAAGACTGATGTTTTCAGCGAGTGCAAATTATCAATGCATTAACTAATTAAGAAATACAGAATTAACAGGTGCGTAAGTACGTATGAAATTCAAAAACACCAACATGTATTGTGTGTATTTATAGGTATATTTATAGGTATATAACGTATAATAATAACAAAGATAAAATTTCAGCACAACGCACTACTGTAGTACAAATATTGAAACAGATCTACATAACCAATAATCTTATCATTATGCGATAACAAATGTATCTACAATATTACATCTCAAATAAGTCCTAACGCTGACATTAATCCAAATATCGTAATCCATGAAAGAATACGTTTGTGAGATATCATATGAGTGTCGCCATGGAAAAAGGGCACCTCCGTTTTTTTTTAGTAAATTATAGATTATTAATCTGATTAGCCCTTATGATCGACTGACAAATCAGGCTTTAAATTATATCGATGTGATGTACCCCTGAAAATTTGATCACGATATACAATACAGCAATACGTATACAGTATTGGGCAAAATTTGTTGAATAACGGTAATTTGGCAAACTGGGCAAATTATTGTATTTGACAAATTGCCCAATATTTGTGTATCTGGCAATTTATGATCATGATTGGTAGGGAGTCATCGACTGAGTTTTAATTTGAATAAACATTACATCGTAACACATGAAAAAAATAACAAGACAGATGGCAATTCATGATCATAAGAGTTTGCCGGATAAATGACAACTTTTGAACTATTTTGATTTTAATATTTATATCTATTAATACCTAATTATGCATTTTTTTTCTTTTCACTTACTCTGGGCTTCTTTTGCATGATCTCCTTTTAATTTTCCAACTTTCTTTATTAAATCATCTGGAAGTTTCAAACAGAGTTTATCTTGAAATTTAGTTGAGTAGTATAGGAAATTTTGTTTTAAAAATCTACTTGTTTTTCTTCTAAAAGATCTTTTAACAAAGCTCTCAGGGACATATATTTGCACGTCTGAAATGTGTGCCAGGTTTGTGGCGCAGC